CCTTATTGACATAGCTTTGAAATCAAAGATTGACATGAACTTCCCTAAAACAATGGAAGCAATTAAAAATGTTTACATGGCCATTGACATGTTTACATTGACCCAATATAAAACAATATTTGTTTTCCAATTGTATTAGAGGACATCATGTGCAAACACTCCAATGACACTTGTTTGAGAGTTGTTCACTCAGAGACTTTGTTTACGTCTAAAACAAAAGATTTTATATGTAAGTCTGAGACAATAACAAAACTACTGTGTATGTGTGTATATGTACATATATATATTTACAGTGTCTATGTATGCTGTATACATCAAGTGCAACACTATACATAAGATACAATTTTGACAGGACAGCACATGTGACCAGTCACTGTTGTCCCTTCAGGCATGGTCCCTCTGAGCACTGGAGGGCAGCAAGGGCTGGAATTTATTTTCCCAGGATGTGTCCAGGGGATTGTGGGGGATGAAGTTAAAGGAACTGGACCAATGAAGAAAGCGAGTAAAGGGGTACTTAGCTACTATACTATTTTATAATGTGATGAAGCACAAACCCATCATGGATCTAGACAAGCTGGCCAATATATAGCCTTCCCTTCCTGCTTCCTATTGCAGCAATCTCAGTTCAACATTCACTCCTTGTTTATACAAGTGGTGGGATAGTTGGGCACTTCCTAGTATGTGAGGGTGTCTAGACACTCATTTGCCTACAGAATTTTCGCTCTATATCTGTAGTGTGCGATCATTTAAGGCTTTGCTGCCTCTGACTGTCTTGAGAGATCTGGAGTGAGATTTGATGTCAGTTTTGTTCTCTTTACTGGAGTCTCTGGCAGGAAGAAGCAAAGCCCTACCTCTACCAAAATGGCCAAATCTATACAGAAGAACACAGTGGCAATACTGGTGACTAGTGTTGCCCTAAGGTTTGTCTTTTTGGGGGCACAGATTGCACAGCTGGATTTTACATAACCTTTTAAATAACATTTTCTGCATTTTGTATGAAATTTTTTTTGTTTGGGTTTTATTCTGATCTATTTGTGCTTCTTTAGTATTTTGCTGAAGAGACTCTAAGAACACTGTGCTTGGCCTATAAAGAAGTAGAAGAACAGGACTATCTGACCTGGGAGCAAAATCATAGTGATGCCTCCGTAGCACTTGAGAATCGTCAATATCTTCTTGATAAAGTATATGAAGACATGGAGCAGAGTCTCCAGGTATAGTGTTTTCAAATCACTGCTCAATTATCCATAGAAACTTTTTGTAGTAAACTAGCAGGAAGCACTGGTGATTTTCAAAGTTTTATAGCCCATAGCAACACTATAAACCCTCAATATAATTTTCAATATGTTTGACATGCTTCAATGTATACAGTTTTAACCACTTCATTGCTGGGCACTTTCACTCTCTTCCTGCCCAGGCCAATTTTCAGCATTCAGTGCTGTCACACTTTAAATGAAACTTTTGTGGTCATGCAACCCTGTATCCATATGAAATTTGTATCATTTATTTCACACAAATAGAGCTTTCTCTTGGTAGTATTTAATCACCACTGGGTTTTTTTTTTTGCTAAACAAATGAAAGAAAAAAAGTTAACACATGAGCAGCTAAGTAAATATAAAAATAGCTAAACCACCAAATCAATAAAAAAAAAAAAAAAAAAAAAACAGAAAAAGGAAAAACAAAAAGCCACCTACACATACTGATATAAATGTGCTACATGACAAAAATACAATGGCAGTGCCGCGCTTTTCTCATAACATCATTAGAACCACTCAAACATGACATGAAATAATTTCCCAAATATAACTGAATTAATGACATGCCAAAATATATTGGAATAGTTCAGTCAATCACTGTTCATAACCCTTCCAAATAAGAGTCTTTCCATCAACATTCCATCTTTTTTTTTTTTTTTTGTATATAGTGCACCTCCACCATCAATAACACCAGCTGTGCCCTCGCCTTGATTTTTTGACCTCACAACTAAATTTGGTCAAAAATAGCTTGTGTCCTCTTGGTGGACATATAGTGATGGTATAACATCTATCGAGATCCTCCTTCATTGTTGGTTAAGCTCCTTCTTGTAACTCCTTCTCCTCCTCCTCTCAAGTGGGGCTCAGTCAGATTGTCCTCTCCAGGTTCCGGCTTGGCAGCTCTGGTTTCATCCTATAGTCTCTTCTCCAGTCTCAGTGGAGGTCCAACTCTTGACTCCTCTCCAGGCTCCCCCTCAGACTGTCTCCTGCTGTCCCATTCTATAGGCTGTAGGTTGTTCCCTGTATTCAGGCTGCCATGATTGGCTTTCTCCCCTGTTCTACAAGCAGTAGGTGACCAGCTTCTTGGCACTGTGAAGCCAGCCGATCCCAAGCCCAGGAAACGCACAGACAGGGAGAAGTGGGGTCTTTTAGCTACTGTTTCTCCTTCACTGATGTGCAATGATGAGGCTGCACTGATGGGCTGCACTGATAGGCGGCACTAGTGGGCACTGTAAGACAGCACTAATGGACACTGATAGGCAGCACAGATTGGGCACCGATTGGCACTGATAACTAGGGCACTGATGATCAGTACCCTGATTATTTGTATATAGTACATCTCCCCTGTTACACTTGCCGGTTATTGGCTTTCCTCATGCTGTGACAGCGCATGAGGAAAGTATGGCTGATAACCAGCAAGTGAATTTACATTGTGATCATCTGCGATTGGACACAGCTGATCACATGGAAAAGGGTCACTGTGATTGGCTCTTTACTGCAACCTGTGATCAACTGTGTCCACGAAGGGGACGTGGTTCCATGAACACCCTCCCGGAACAACAGAACTGCGCTGTAGCCGTCTTTCAGCTATTGCGCGGTAATGAAGAGGTTAAAGTGGAACTCTAGAAATTTTAAAATTGCGAACAAGCATGAATTTTAATGTAGAAAAAACATACTATGTCAATTTGACATTAAAGCTCCCTACTTGCCTAAATGCACTGTATACTGAGCTGCCCAAGTGTACAATTTTGGCAAAGCCAAGATAGCTAAACTCCCGTGCAGGGGCGGGCTGAACATTTGGAAACTCGGGCACTGCCCGAGAGCCCGGGGTCAGTAGGGGGCCCCATGAGATGCCCCTGGTACCTTTTTCATAGGCTTTTTTGAGTTTGGGCAAGGACACAGGGGCCTCATGATCCCCTATTGCACGCGGGCCTCATAAATTGTCAGTCCGCCCCTGCTCCCGTGCATGCACAGTAGTGATGTATCCTTGACTTGGCCAATGAAAATGTCTGCAGATCAGTACCTGGAAGCCACCAGGCTGAAAATGTCAGTGGCAGGCAGGGAGCCATGGCACATAGTTCCGCTTTTAGCTGGTGAGCATAGTTCTAGTTTAAGCAAATTATTTTTTGTGAATCTGTTGCAATATTTCTTACCTGGAGATCCTCCCAGTATCAGCACTTCCTGCTGCAGGCCAACAACCTTAAGACAGTGCCTCTCAATTAGCAGCAAAGTTGTCAGCCTGCCATGTGGATTCCTTCAGTTGGCCATTTAGCTGCTTGCCAGGTCTGCAGGTGACATACGTAGACTTAATAGGCAGCCCAAAGACCAACAAAGGTAACAAACCTGGCAAACTGACAACTTCTTTGCAAATTGCAAACTAGTAGCTTAGCATTGTCAGCCTGCAAAAGATTCACAAAAAATGATTTGCTTAAGAATATTGTGTACAGTAAGGCATGATGCCAAACATACTGAGATATAGATCTTGTATATCAGAGGTAGGCAACCTTACACAGGTGGAGATCTACCTGAACAAGGGAGAAGTTGAAGATCACCAGGCACAGCGTCACCTCCTCACACCTGATTTAAAACCTCTAATCGCTGTATTACTGTGTCGCAAACACATACATTGCACAGCAACCATGGGTTTAAATCCTATGCAACATATCACTTCCTCACCATCTGTCAAACACACTCGAATTCCTTTTCAGAGCACCAGCAGTGCCTGCTGCACTTGTGAATGAGCCCTTATCTGCATTTGGCCGCAGCATCCTTAGGGCTCATTCACACAAAGTTGGGGGGGGGGGTTTACCACCCCCTCAAACCCTACCCTCTTTAGCTGCTGAAGCAGCAGCCAAAGGTGTACACATGCCACAACAGGAATAAACCCCCCTGTTGCTTTTGGTGGGTGCTACCGCCTGCCAATCGTGACCCATACTTCTAGGTCTAAAGGGTAAAAGCAGGTGGAAAAAAGCAACACAACACTGCCTACTTTAACCCCTTGTTTGCTGTACTGCACAAGGTTGCAAGGCACTTGCAATGTGCCCTCATTCACTTGAATGGATTATGCTTGGCAGGTGCTACACCCACCAACCATGACAGGGTGTATAATTTCTGCTGCCACTGCAACTCGTGTGCACCCTTGGCCACTGCAGCTAAAGGGGGTGCTGTTGGGATGGTTGGTAACCTATGGGGTATTACCACACCCCCAAACTGAAAATGTAAATGAACCCTTACTGTTCTGAGCCACGTATAAGGCTGCTTTCACATTGATCTGCTGTGGTTTGCCTGCACCCCTGGGCGCAGCGCAGTGTACCTGCAACTTTCCTGCGGGTTAGCTGTGCTTGGCCATAGACTTCTGTTATATCCTGCAGGTGTGGTGCACTTTTCATGCATTCAGGAATTTTAGTGTGCTCTCAGTGCACAAAACCTGCAACATATAATAGAAGTCTAAGGGCAGCAAACCCGCAGGAAAGCTGTAGGTACACTGCACTGCCCCCATGGTGTGGGTAAACCGTAGCACATCAATGTGAAAGCAGCCCTATACTATTCTGCCCAGTGTATTGCTTCACACTGACCTAAAGATCTCTTCTTTCTTGCTGCTGGCACCAATATGGAGAACGCTAGCCAGGATAAGAGGTGGAGTGCTGTTGGTATCACTCCACATGGGACAGGAGCCGAAACTACAGATTAGGCATAGGCTTTCGCACCCCAGGGGGTAAGAAAATTCTGGAAAGGTGATCCCAAACATTTATCTTCCCAATCATACCTCTGAACAATAACATCAGGAATTGATACAATGAGTCAGATAAATATTCATAACCTAGTGGTCAATCCTCACTGGAACCTCCATCCACAAACAGGCTGAAACAATCAACCTACCAGACTCAGGAACAAATCCTACAGAACCCAGACAAGATAAATAACCGCTCAGGCTGAATACACCCCATCATAATATACAGTACATTTAGAGAGACAACTGTGTAAGGTAGGATTGCTGTAATTTAATTTCAGCTTGAAGACAATTGTAAACCTCTTCGGTGCTGATGGTGATTCTTTGCACACTTGTGAACTCACATAGGGCCGGCATTAAGGCATCAATTGTCAGTAATTAGATAGTGTTGTGTTTATTTGCTATATAATCCTAGTCCAGCAGACTAAGAAGTTGTTTTGTGTGTCTCAGATACTTGGAGCCACTGCCATAGAAGACAAGCTACAGGAAGGAGTACCGGAGACCATCCAACTTTTGAGAGATGGGAATATTAAAGTGTGGATGCTCACTGGGGACAAGAAAGGTACAACTTGCAATGCTGCTTGTATAGCTCAATTCCCTCTAGATTTCAGACATAAGAATTCTAGACAATAAAATGTATTTTTCAGTATGTGTACAGTTTTCAAAAACCGTTTGTGAATGTGTTGGAAACGTGAAGATCCTTCCAGTTACGGCACTTCTAATTGTATGCTGGGAAAGCTACGTCACTGTTGGTCAGTTGGCCTCAGCTTTGTCAAAGTGCCACCAAGCTCCTTCAGTTGGCAGTTGAGTAGACCTGGCAGGCAGAATGACTAATTGAAGGAATGCACATAGCAGGTTGACAACACAACTGCTAATTGCAAGGCAGCGGTTTAGCATTGTTAGCCTGAAACAGGAAATGTGTTACTGGCAGGATCTTTAGGTAAGGAACTTTGCAAAACTTTCTAAAAAAATGATTTGCTTTAGAAAACTTGTATACGGTCAAGCATGATGGCAAACTTACTGCAAAACGGGTTTCGTCTTTTTATATGCTTTAATATTCTGACAGACTGTGACGGGAGTCACTTTGGGTGGGGGGAACATGGAACCCAGCTCACTTTGGAAATTTGGGGAGACCCCTGTCTCCGCTCCCCCCATATCCCTCTTATGTGTAAGTCACCCTGTGTCTGTTAGGGGTACACGGTGATCTGTCCTTATGTTGTGTGGGAGTTGTTGATGTCATGTGGTTGCATCCCATTGTTCTATTGTGTGTCTTGCTTGGGAGCAAACTATTATGGGATGTATGTGTTTGTGTGTAAGCTTAGTGGGGGGGTGTCTCCAGCAGCCCTCCCTCCTGATGGGACTGTCTGCTGATCTGAAGTTTGAATAGCTGTGTGTCTCTTGCTACTAAATGTAGATTGCACCACCCTGTGTCATTATGTAGGGAGGGGGGATTGTCTCCTGAGTGTATATATCTTGTATCTGTGTTCACATAAACTAGTCTACCTCCTGGTTTACTTCAAGACTGGTGTTGTCCAGTCTTGTATGGTCGACTGTGGTGTCTGTCGGTGTTCGGACGAGGAAGCGGTATTCTAACGGAAGTACCCATGCGCAGTCTGGGTCAGTTCTGTTACACAGCCCAACTGGGTATCACCGCCAAACTATAGCTTTCCTTAATCGGGAACCAGAATATAGCAAATTTACCCTAAGCATCAGACAGAACCAATGTTGGAGTAAAACAGGACTGACTTTATTAACAAACAGCACAGTATTTATACACAGAAACCTCCCCCTAGACAGGTACGGCCCACATTACAAATCCCAGGAGAAAATTTCATTACATAAAACAAGTAATCAAACACAAGAAAACAGTGGATTCCTTCCTGGCACCTAGCAGTCTATATTTCTGGAGGTAATAAAACAAGTGAGAGCTTATCACCTATACTTAATTACAGCAAACAATAGTTGATGCCAGGAAACCCGGCGATGTGGAACGCAGACAGGGGAGAGGTCTGTATGACAGAAAATAGTTTAACCATACACAGCATGTCTACATTTTAAGCACTGGAATTCACCCCTGCACACAGTTCCATTATGCATAGTATACCAAGGGGTTTAACCCAGAAACAGACCCATCCAGCCCTAATTGCATGGAAAGGGTAGCTGGTATAAATCATGACCAGCCAAGTACCCCAGGGAAGTGATATAACCCTCTCAGGAAAAGGTTCCTTGTAACCCCAAGAGGGCGTTCTTCTTAGTTCTGGGTCCATAGTCAGTGGGAAGGAGGCTGGCCCCCAGACCCCTCCAGGAGCCCAAGCCACAGTGGTTTCTGTGACAAATATAATATGCAGGTCAACTCAAGATCTGGTTGCTACAAGCAGTTTTCATGCATTTTACCAGTATTTATACAATGGTCTGACTGATCCTTGATTATGTAAAAAGTTGGAATACTTAGCAGCAATGATTTTTATATTTTGCAGAGACAGCTGTAAACATCGCATATTCCTGCAACCTTCTTTCAAATGACATGCAGATTTTGGAGGAGACTGACCTAGGGTAAGGCTCTCTGACCACGCAAACTGGGACAACTTGGGTGCTGCCATTTTCAGTGTGAGCTGTCCTAATTTACTAATATAAATGACAGGCAGGCAGCCCTGCCCAACCTAGTAATATACATATGCAAACCAAGACCAAAATTGGTCATGTGGAATTAAAAGCTGAACCCCTGGAAAATATAAAAAGAACTCAATGCAGCTCTGTATTTATAATAAATTATTAGTGGCGCACCGAAATTAAAATTCTGGTGCTGAAACCAAAAATTCAGAATGCACTTGGCCAAAAAAGGAAACTGACAGTTTTTTTTTTTTTTTTTTTTTTTTTTTAAAATGTAATTATTGTGGCTGACATTTTGCATTGAAGTCACTAGGGGGCGTTTTTTCATGAAAGCCTACGAGAAGCGACTTTGCATGAAAGTCTGAGACGTGACTTTGCAGTCAAGTCAATAGGGGGCTTTTTTTTTTTTTAATGAAAGTCTGAGAAGTGACTTTGCATGAAAGTCTGAGACTCGATTTTGCATTGCAGTCATTAGGGGGTGTTTTTTTCATGAAAGTCTGAGACTCAACTTTGCATGAAAGTCTAGGAGACATGACTTTGAATGTATCGATTCCATTATCTGCACATTTTTTTTCCTATCGGCAAAAGGCCAATAACACTATTTTCGGCTGCCGATATAACGGTGCATCCCTATTTATTACCTTTTGCAAGCAGGGCAAGTACATAAATGTATGTGTACTGCAGTACGAGCATGCTATTAGGAGAAGAGCAGAACAAGAAGAGAGATGAGCTCATTATTATACTGCTTCTCCTTTCAATGTACAGTCACACGCTAGGGGTGAAGAGAAGACCTGCCTGCAAAACTAAAACTGCAGCAAAGAAAAATTAGGTCTCCTTCCAGGTCAGACAGGGCTGTGCTGTAGGGCAGGCTGTGCTGTGTAAATCTAAAGACTAGGTGGACAGAAATACAAATCCTTTGGCAGCTAACATATCTCCCTCGTACGTATGTATTTCATGCTTGTATTTAGCGCTGTGCTTGAGTTCAGCTATAATGCTATGGGGTTTTTTAAGGCATAGCAGCCTTTAACAATATATAGACTACTCACCAGAAAAGGAAATCGCTGTGTTCCGATATTCTTATTCATAATGACGTTTGAAAAGACCATCTTAATGGGAACTTGTCAGGATAGAAACGTAGGAGCTGCTATTGACCCATCAAAGGTGAAACATTTTTTACTACAGTATGTACGATATTTTGTGCGTTTTTTCCAGATGAAAACCACGTTCACAGTTAGAATTGCATTCCTTCAAGAAAAATGTTCTATCCTTTTCCTTTAATTTTTTTCAACACCACAGTTGGAAACAAAACTCAATTTGACTCCACTATTTATTAGAAAATTGAACGTTCATTCCGAAAATGAACATTTTAAATATGACGTTTTACTAGTGTATGGCCAGTTGGCTGTCATCTGAATCCTGGTTTCAGCACTAGGTGTGTGACAAACATAGAACAAATATGTGTCCTGAGACTTTAATGGATGCATGTTAATTTCAGGTCAACAACTTTGCAAGCTGTGAGACGAGGATAGAAAGAACAACCTTGAAACGTTTCTTTAAAGTCCAACTCTGGGCTTGGGACCAACCCTTCCACCGCCCTCTCTCAGGGTACCCATACACCCTTTAAAATTCAATATGTATATATTTAATTTTCCATGTGTCTTCAATCTAGTCTGGATTAATGCACATATTTACCAGCACACCACGCATCATCAAATAGCATCCAAAGCTTCACTGCAGAAAGATCACATCACAGAGGACTAAGTGCAACGTTTCGGAGAAGCACGGGTTCCCTTCATCAAGCTTGTGATGAAGGGATCATGTGCTGTTCTGAAATGGTGCACTTAGTCCTCTGTGATGTGATCTTTCTGCAATAAAAGCTTTGGACAATTTTTGATCCATGGTGTGCTGGCAAAAATGTGCGCTGATTCGTGATGAGCCCAGTTTCCCAATGGTAGTTGCTGCAGTACCGGCCACTGACGAGCCTACGTCCAGAGCATGTGCAAAGGGAATATTGACAATACTGTAGTCTAGTCGAATAACTTTTCGTTCTTGCAGTGAGTGGGTCCTGAATTCCCCAGGCAGAGGTGCAATGCCCTCCACGGAATTCAGAATCAGCCCACAGTTCAAGCTGTCATTCTTCTTCCTTCTGAAAGTGATATAAGGATGGTGGGGACAGGCCCTTGTTTCCCTGGGCTCACAGAAATCTGAATAGGTTAAAGGGTCTCTTTCATTTGAGGTTTTTAACTCAAGTGTCATACATCATGACAGATGACTTTTGATTTCTGTCTGTCAAAAGCAGACACTGTATGTTGATGCATCTTTTATTTCAACACTTTCTAGGTTCCTCCTTGATGATAACCAGAGGAATAAAGATAATGAGGAGAATAAAGATGACACATTAAAAGACACTGATCCTGGCATGCTAAAAGATTGGAATATGAAAGCATTGGTCGTTACAGGGGACTTTTTGGTAAGGTGTA